GCCAGTTTGGTGTAGAGAGATATGAGGTGAAGGTTACATTGACCTAGTCCAGTTATGCAACTGTGAGAGAGACAGGTGACAAGTCTCTCACCACAACCAGTCTGGAGAGTAAAGTGACAAATAGAAAACCTACATAACTTCCTAAGTAAATTATTCCATCAGAAACTATACATGAATTCATTGTCTTTAAATCTGTTACAAAACGGCGAGGTTATAACCACTTGATCTTCATTGTTGATTTAAATTTGCGGGTTTTCATATTTATTATTTCCTTTTAAAAATCACAAAGGAATTTTTCAACGGCTGTCACTCTTGACTAAGTTGTCTGCTTGAGCTCGGGTTTGCGGCACAAACACTTTGTACTTTACTAACAAAGTTCTTTAATTTCATGTCTATATCAACCTATGCTTAAGTTTAAGATTCTCTTCTGACTCCTCCCTAGCTAGCCCCCCTGAGGATGTGGTGTATCACTGAGTAATGTTTTAAAATACAGTAATATTTATGTCCAGTGACTTCTTTTCAAATTTGTAACTCTATTTTTGTTAATTTTTTGAAATATTTTATCCGTCCAGGGACATTTAACGGGACTTTCAATTTGTTAAAAATGTCCATTTTTTACTTTTTGTAACTTATCATCTTTGGAAATGAATTTTTTGTGCTAAACCTCATTGTTTGTGAGGTATTTATAACAAAAAAAGAAAACTACCAACTTTAACCCCCTCCTGTCAATCCTAATGCTTAAAATAGTGTTATTTTCTACCATACAATACAGGGACTATATTATTAATCAGTTTGGAGTCAAAAGTTAGCTTTCACTTTTGGATGAAGTGTAGATCTAATTGTACCTTACAGTAGTACAGGCTTTGACAGAGCACACTGATTACCGTACTGATTTCTGTCAAGCAAGCAAACTTTTTAACCAAACCAATAATTTGAAATTACAAATTACTGCAAACTACAACCACCTTTATTTGTATCTTACATCAACGATCACAGTAATAATAACTAAAGGAGAAAATATAATTTTTTACTAAAGCACTATCTGTAAGTATGGCTCATTAAACTATGATTTTGTCAAAAAATAAAAAAAAACCAGCTGTTTTACAGATGGGAAGAAGACTACTTCAGTATTCAAAAGACAATGGTAAAATGTAACGAAATGTCTGATTTGAGATTCAACTTCCACCCTAAGCCATTACTACGGATCCAAGGTGCCTCTTTCACATGTGAATTCCTCAGTTGCACACCAGAACAGACTGAAACGCCTTACACCAATCGGCCAAGGCCTAGCAATATATTTGCAGTAACACCACTTGTAAACCGAAGCCCCAGCGTAGTTTGATGAAGACTATTAAGTAGCAACATATTCGTATTGACAGCTTTTAGTTGTATTCATTAAGATATGTACTCGCACATATAGTTTGATAACTTTTTACCAATAAGTCTTTGGGGCTTAAAGAGTAAAACTTTAAATACTATAATTGATTCCACTAAATATATATTTATGTCTGAAAACAATTCTCTCATCTAGAATCTGGAATAGGCTTTCATATTACCGTATGTTTGGTAATTAAGTACAAACAAATGGTAAACGTTTACTCGATTCTAGAACAGACTTCACAGGATAATCTACACTTTAAAACAATATTAAAGCTTTAGTTAATAGTACCCTGGGACCGAGCCATGGCTCGTTGTAGTTTATTTCCATTTTAAAAGCAATATAAACTCACATTTTATTTACGACTAATTTTGGCTTTCATTAATTTCAGTTTCAGTGGAATTTCAATATATTCTGATGGGAATTTTAACCTGGCAATTTACAACGCATTAACAGTAGACGGTGAAAATCACTCGTTTATAAAAATTTCCCCAGTACTTCAGGGATTAAGTTTTGGTAGGAGAAAGCCAAGTAAAACAATCAGTATTTGATTGGAACTATTTTCACCTAGGCTACATTGAGTAATCTTCAGTGAAATCTTTGCTCAATAGTAACAACTGATGTTTTTCACTTTGTACTGTATTTTGTAATTGTTAAGTAGACTTTGGATGGCTGTTATAAGCTCATGTTTCAGGTCTTTTGTTTACTTTTTCCTCGTTTTTTTGTTCAACTAACATGGCAACACATAAGGCTAATGTTAAAAATTTTTGACTTTCAATTTCACTTTTTTACATAATTAGATTTTTTTGGCAGTTTACCGCCAAAAATACAGTTAACAGTTAGTGTTTACAGCAGATTACTTGTTTTCAGGCCAGATTATTTACAACATTTGAAGGAAATTGTCGAAGCCGTTTTTGAGATCTTTGTTGAAGCATAGACCTAAATGTACATTCAAGCAAACATTGCTCATCTAGCCCTTTCGCTGCTGGCATTTTTTCATTCGTATAATCGAGAACCGCCGAGTCCATTTTGTACTTAAACGCAATGCTTATATAAAATGGTTATAACTTTTTAATTTTTGCAAATATTTTGATAAAACTTGTTTTTCTAGAATTTTGTAATAAAATTACCTTTATAAAAATATAATATTAATTTATAAAGGTTTGAATGGATTGTTTTTATTTTAGGTACTAAATGTAAGTAAAAAAATTTAAAATAGGGCCTAAATAAATAAAAACTTTGAGTACCTACCTACAACCAAGAGATTTAACTACCTATATGAATAAAAAATATTTTATCAATATTTGTGTTAGGCTATTTTTTATTACTACTGTGTGTACACACATTTGTTAGTAAGCATGCAAAATTTGAAAGTCCTACCTTGAAAAATAAGCTTCTTTTTAGGGTTTGAAATAAATTGTCTTAAGAGCGTTTTGATGTGTCATGTCACTCAAATGCACTATATAACGTCTAATGCTATATTATACAAAAGAAAAGGAAAGAAGCCTACAGTTTTTCTTTATGCCAAAAAACAAAGATGGAACCAACTATTTATAACATAAAACTATACATTTACACTTACAGTAGCCCAAAAAAGTAAAATGGTGTAGCATCATCTAGCACCTGTGTTGGCCAAAACACACAGCGTGTACACCTTTCTGGCACTCTAGTGCATATATGGTTCGGGAGACTACAAGATTGCGCCACTCATCCTACACTCATCTCCATTCATACTTGGCTTAAAATACCGGTACTTACTTTGTACGGTCGCCATTTCATTGAAAAGTATATTAACGTATTTAAGATTTCTTTCTTTTTTCACAGCTAAATACACAGCAGATTCTCTCTAATTTATCTGGTAACGTTTCCATTCCAAACTGGTCATTTTGCCGCTGATTGCCTACTCCTGCCATCCGCAAATTGTCTCCTCCCGCTAACTGATACTTATGGTCAAGCCACTCTTTTGACATAGGCCTACTGTCAATTATAGATGATGTGAACTGAAACCTATTCGTGTCTTTTCCACTACTGTATGGTTTTCCTTATATATATGAAGTACAAGTTCAAAATCATTCTTGAAAAAATGTGTAACTTAATACAACCTTTTTCTAATACTGAACAGTCTGTTGCTCATCATAGGTGTAGCCTATAGCCTAACATCTGGTTTGAATGGTCAGTAGGTCTACCTCTTCCCATGAAGGAGCTGTACAAATCTATTAACTAATCTCTGGTTTTTCTTTTACAATTACCTCATTAATAAGTTACTTACTACTTGCCTAATATGCAGCAGAAACAGTTAAATAGCCTACTTTACTTTGAAATGGCGATAAATAAAATAACTAATGATATTTGAACTTACCGGTACCGGTACCTCATTATTTAGGGCTTACCATCCATTAACATTTATTAGAAGTTTAAAATGGTAGAAAGCTTCTCAGATAAATATTCAATGATGTTGACTGCAAATTTTGCAGTTCTTTCCAATCTATTTCGCACAAATCGGAATTCAACTTTAGCCGGGGATAAGCAGCAAAATTAAACTTAACATGTTCGCTACCGCAATAGTACAAAGTTTTTCATTCATATGGACCAGTGACGCACATATGTGAAGGCTAGTTTCTACCCATAGACTGCCGTCACATATATGCGACGGCTAGTCACATTAAAATAGACTAACGTCGTATATTTGCGTCGGTGTTCCAATGTTATCAAAACGCTTATATCTTTGTAACGGTCTATTTGAAGGCACTGAATTCTCTGCAGTGGTCAACAGGAATGTCTGACGCACAACTGCGTCGCTTGGTCTATGTATATGATGATGATTGACGACGTCATATGATAGTTGGAAAAGCTATTCTTTACTTAGCTGCATCACTGTGTCCGCTGTATGTATGCTGCATTATTCCATGTAGCTTCTATATTTGTTCAATAATCATCTGTTCTTGAAAAATTTGTTTTTTACACTTAAAAACATAACAAATGAACTGTCACATATATGCGGCGCTTTGGCTATTTCAAGAAAAATATAATAATTTTTACTATTGTCTTCACTATAGACTGGTTTGCGACATTAAAAAAGGTTAGGCCTATAAAAAACAACAAGAATATATTATTTACAAACAAGATTGCAGAGTATTACACAGTAAATGATGACTGTGTAACAGGTTTTCGCCCGTGGTCTGCGTGTACTGTTAACCAAGTGACAGCCAGTCTATGTGCAAGATTAAATTATAGGTAACTTATACCTCGGTCCATGGCAATGATCGTGGCGTCGCATGCTCGGTATTAAACGTGTTAAAAGGTTCAAATAGGTAGTTTTATCAATTGTTATTAATCTACGGCTGCCGATAAGTAACAACATTAACTTATAGAAGGAACAACAACTTAACTTGATTGATTGTGACCAAGTTTCGAAACTTTAGTTATTGCAGTGTATAAATTAAGAATTCCCAGATTAATATCTTAAGATAGAAATAACTTGATTTGTCATGAAAGTGCCCACCAAAGTTTAGGCCTAGCTTATCTTAACATACTTTCTAACCTACAAATCACTTAAAATGGACTTAGTTAGGCCTAAATAAGTTTATGTACTTAACACAAGTTGTGATAAGAAACTTCTTACCTTACAAATAATTGTTCTTGATTGTTCACCCGCCACGACACTACGGTTGCGCCTGAAATAAAATGTTGTTTTAATTCAAGCAATAATAGACCAATCCATCAGCATGGGGAGAAACAAGTGGTTGAGATAACCTCATTTAAAAAAAATAAACTCATTTTACTTAATATTAAACCAATTATTTTAATACTTATTGATTAATTTTTTGTTTATTGTCATAAGCAAAAGTAAAAATTATAATGATATTAAATTACCGTGTAAATTTATAGTGCATGTTGTGTTATTGCCTCTATCCAGTACCACAACACTCGTAGCAGCTGCCATGTTTAAATGCGAAACCGCCTGTTTTCACAACCCGTTGTTGAAGACGCTGATTTCTGGTTGGTGGGGGGTTATAAGAAACACAGTGTACGGCGAATGCGCGGGTTTTTCAGCCCATTTGGCCCTAAAATTATAATACAACTTTATCATAAACATCATATTTTTACAATTTATGATACTAACAATATTCCATAAATCTTTCACTATTTTCCAGGTATTATTTGGTTAAAAATCCTGTTTTGTAGAGGGAAATCAATACGATTTTTTCAAACAAGATTTCTTATACTGGCCTACTACGTTAGGCTAAAGACACTTTGTGTTTATAAAAACAGTTATTTTATCTAAATTCTTCTCGTAAATAAAGTGATTGTCAATAAGTTTTCTAAATTGGTCAATATAGTTGATTAATCTTTGATTTGCAGTTTGTTAATAAAATATAATTCTTTATGAAGTGATGCTAAACACTAATTTCGGTCGTTGATGGGTAGAAAAAATAAGTAACGAATTATATATATATATTTTTTATTAAAAATTAATAAAAGCTATTTATTATAAATATTACAAGACAAATAAATCTAAACTACAGATATTACTAAACATTTTGATTCTTTCAATATATATGTTGGATGCCTGCTCCAACTTCTATATATTCTCTAATGTATTATATTATTTACAGTTAATTTTCCTTATTCTGTATCAATATTGTGTTTATTTACTTTGGAACTTTTAGATTGTAGTACATACGGTAGCAAATGAAATAGGTAAACAACACAGACATTCTTTGTATTGGCTCCCAGATAGCACAAAACAGAGTGTTGTTTCCAATACATGGTCCTGGCTAAATTTTCAAGAGCTAAGTTATTGATACTGATCCAGTCTGAATACAACAAGCATTGAACCTTTCGAGTTTCGAGGTCTCAAAACTCTACTGGACTACAATAGACACAGATTCCAAAACACGCAGGTTTCAAAATAAGGGGGGCTATAATAATAGCCCCCGCATTGGACCGGGACCCTAGGCCCTAGAAAAATAAGTTGAAACACACATTGATCCTAAAAACATAACAGAGAATTTTGGCCACAGTTCTAGACATTAAATATAATATGGCTATAGAAAGTCGCAAAAAACAGCATGAAAATACCAAATTTTTGAGGGAGGATCCCTAGACCCAAGATGTATGGAGTAGAAGTATACAGTACGGTATGTAAAATAAAAGTATAAAAGTAGGTATGATGTATAAAAGATATATGGAGTAAACTTTTACTCCATACATCTTGCCCTAGACCCCCTTCCTTCTTATGGAGGCGTGAACCACGGCCGCCTTTAACTATGTGAACCCCCCGGTAGCCCCCACTTTACAAGGTTGATGAACCACCATGCTGACAGCATTTTATAATGTTTCTTCATCCTCTTGCCAAAATAGATTAACGGGCACTATTATGGATATTTTATAAACTATTTCGTCATAGCTTAACCAATCTCACTCATGCGTAGGCTACTACAATGTTTTTCTAGTTTTTGAATCCGCCCAAAGAGTCAAGTAGGGGAATAGTCTTGTGATCTTGTAGCCACTCCTGAAATTTGAGTATATACTGTATATATATATATGGGGACCTATTGATATGTAGTAAGGGTAGGGGGCTGCAAATCTCACCTTCAAATACACGAGCAAATACAATCAAAATAAGTTACAGCTTACATTTTTTATACAGTATGGCGAATAAATGCCATTTCCATTAAGAATTCTACATTTAAACGGCTTTGACTAACACATGTTTTCAAAGAGGCACATACAGAAAACAGAAACAGAACACAACCAAACCAAACGTCAAACTAGATTTAGGTTTGGAAGCAAAGCATCGGGTGCAGCTGAAGCTGAAAATGCTTGTTTTGAGTATGATGAATGAAATAGAAATTATAGTTATGGGTAAACCGTTTTAATAGAGCGTTAATAACCGCGGGAACTGTTCTAATTTAGTTTTAGTACTTAAAGAATTGTAATTTCGTTGGTTGATAATTGTTTCTAAAATGCTGAAATTTGGAAGTAAAAGTGATGTAAACGTTACCTTCAAGTGCACAGTTCGGTTGTTAGAAGATACTGAAATTGTTGAATGTGAATTTCAGGTGAGTTCACAAATATTAATCACATTTACTGCAGTGTTTGCTTCCTGTGTAATCTTTTGTAATAACTTTAGTTTCTCTACTTAAACATAATGCATGTAAAAAGAAATCAAGGCACAGACCCTAAGCTTTTCTTTCACCATTGCCTTGATTACAACCCTATGTAGCCTTTTAAACATACTAGGCTATTTCAAACATAGACCAAATAATGTACACCTTTTTGCCTAGCTTGGATAAGGTATTAAAACACTTTTTTCTTCTTAGCCACATATCTTTTATGCTGGAACATGCTTCAAGTTCAACCAACCGAAGAATCTATTAAGTAGGCTAGGCCTATATCAGCAGGCCTAGTTCTGGAGCGTTCCGTTTAGTCTCTATGTTTAATAGACCTACATGAATAAAAAAGTCTGTTCATTCTGCCATCTGAAGGCTGGCTGGTTCAATCCCAAGTGGGGTGTAAGTTACCTTAACTTCCTATGTCAAGATTCCAGTTGTCATTTGGCCTTCAATTAAGCTTTAATGCGACCATTTAATAACATTTGGACCTAATGTTGGACATAATAATCAATGCTGTTCTTAAGATACAGCTAAACAAAACCTGACCACAAATAAAAATTTGGCCCCATTAAGCATGGATTCTGTTGGCCATTGTTGTCTTTGAATTTCAAATCACTTTAGATAAGGAAGATTTTGATTTACAATCTTTATAGCAAGTGGCTCTTTACATTTAATGTCAGGTAGACCTTTATTAAATACAACCAAAAGCCTAAGAAAGAGGGATTGGTGTGAAGAGTTTTGTCTTAAGCACCTTCATTGCCCAGTTTAGTTGGGCAGTCACAAAAAAATCTCACGACCATTTTAGCGCATTTAAGTTTTGAACCAACAGATTAAAAACCAAGGAAACGTTTTGCAGCACTTTTGCTTTTGCTTTGCTAAAAAAATCCAGTCTCAGATTTAATTATTCTTACAGGTTCTACTTAGTTAACCTGCAGTATTTTTGTAGGTTGACAGATCAATAAGTTTGGGGAAGGGGGAAGGGGTGGAATATCCAAAGAAAATATATTTTTGATCACATAGGTATATTGTTCTGCATAGCGCTGTATGGTTCAACAAAAAATTTAAATTTGGAAAAAATATTAAAACAGCAAAAACGAGCAATCAGGATCATGCTTAAGTTAGAGTATGATGCACCAGCTAAAGAACATTTCAAAAATCTAAATATTTTAACTGTTTACGGGCAATACATTATTGAAACTACTCTCATTGCAAAGAATTGTACAACTATCAATTTTAAGTCCCCAGCTCATTCGTATAATACTAGAAAGAGAAATGAGGTTATCCTGCCACATAGATTAAAGTTTTTTGAAAAGAAACCAACCTACACAGGACATACTTTTCTTAAATATATTCCAGAAAACATAAGAAGAGAAAATAATTTAAATAAGTTCAGGAAATTGCTGAAAGAATATTTAATACAACTGGCCCCTTACTCCATAGAAGAATTTTCCACCTCCCAGATATAACCTACAGTAGATATAAATATTTTTGTTATTACTTTTTATTTTTGCTTGGTTAACTGTAAATAGTAGATTTTAATTAGATTTAGTATTGTATTATATATGACGCTATTTACTGTACGAACTATGTACAAAAAAAATGAATAAAGAACTATGACTATGACTATCTTTGATACTGAAACTCTGAACACACTGAAAGCAAGCGTTTGTTGTGTTCTCAAGCAACAAAATTCTCAAGGGCTTGGAGCAAGCTATGGAAATAAGTTACTTGTGACCAGCTTTCTTTGAGAACGCACTCATAGTAAGCTTAATATGGATTTTGTATGGGAAACTAGCCCATACATGTAAAAATAACTGAGAGCTAACTTATAGGCTACACTCAAACTTTAACAAACTTTACAAAACTATGCGTTTATTTGTTAACTTGACATTGTTTCACTGTAGGCTACGCAGGCAGGGACTATAGTCTATTCACAAAATATAAGCGGTTTGAGAGGAAGTTTTTCTGGGTCCCCCCACAATTTTGTTCTTAACATATTTATTTATTTATTTATTTATTTATTTCCTCTCAACGGTTACACCATTTTACAGCGAATATGGTATGTTACATGTTGTATCTAATAGGCCACAAAATATTGAGCAACAGCCATACACACATCACATACATCAACACAACAGTCACACAACAACACATACAAACAGTCATATGTTAGCCTATAGCTGATTCCTGGTTTGGTGTAATAAACAGCTGTACAGCTTTTGTTTCAAAAATAGAGTTAGTGGAGGGAATGGATCAGCTTCCTTTACAACTGCCTTTTGTGAACGGAGTATAGTGCCAATAACGCTAGCTCTAGTTGGTAAGAATAAAGTTTTTGAACTACTTAAGCACCAGTTGGTTACCATGCCGCAAAATGCTATGTTGAGCATGTTGCTATAGGCCTACTCGTAACATGGTATCAATGGGTTGAACATAATTCAATCAATTCAGTTTATTTGTTGCCAAAGCTATTAAATGAATTAAATTAGTTTTTCATAAAAACCACTAACCGACAAAGTCTCACTACTGTAAAATGAAAACTTAAGATAAAGCAAGTGAGTACTTGACAACTAAACTACATGTGTCCAAATAAACTGTTACTGAGACTTAAAGGGTATCAGAGAGGTACCGGTAGCCTATGCAGGTATGAGGGGTTGATAGGTAGATAGGCCTATGTAATGGTATGAAGTGTGCTGCAAAAGCCTGGCGCATATTTAACGAGTATAGACAGAAGCGGCAGAAGTGGTCGTTTAGACGTATACTCACTATTGTACACAGTTATTTCTAAGTTTTTTAGACTGAATCCGATTCAGCTTGAACTTGGTCCTTATGGGCTGTTTTTGATGTTTCTTTATATTATTCATATTAATAAGTTTTATGTAGGTCAAGATTTTATATGAACAACTAAAAATAAATATTTTCATCATTCTTAATTTACAATAACCTGAAGTGTAAGAATAGGTTAATTGTGTTGTAATACCCCATGGAGAGAACGTGAATAGACTGTTAGTGAATACAATAGAATGTTTTGGGAGCAATAAATAAGAATAAGAATAAGAAATATTTATTTCCATTGATCTTTATAAAAGAAATAGGACACGTCATTGTTATACATAGTTACAAGGTGATTCAGTGTTTACAGTACAAAATATCTAAATTTAAATAGCCACTTACATGAAAATAAAAGCTTTATTTCAACTTACTCTTCAAAATCTAATATTTACTTCACAACTTAAAAAATCATCAATTTTGTAAAAGGGATTTTTAACAATCCAGTCATACAGTTTATTTTTAAAAATACTGTAAGAAACTAATTTTTCTTCTTCAGGCAGCTTATTAAAAACATTATACAATTTAATTTATGTGAATGTTTGGTTTTTGCCAATCTGTGCTGCAATATATCTATTTTATCCCTACCTCTTGTATAGTGATTGTGTACGTCTTTTCGGAAAGAGAATTGATCTAAGTTTGACTTTGTATATATTAGAATTTGGAATATATAAAGATTTACTATGGTTGGTATCCTGAAATTAATGAAAAGAGGTTTACAATGTGTATCTGAGCATTCTCCAGCAATGCTTCGAACCGCCTTTTTCTGGAGTAAAAGGATGTCATTAATATGTGGAGAGTGGCCCCACAAAATAAGACCATATAGTATGTGCGATTGAAAGAGTCCAAAATACGCCAATCTTAAATATTCTTGACTAACAAAATCCTTAAGTTTCCACAGCAAGCACCTCACTCTTGAATTTTGTTACAAACAGATTTTATGTGTGATGACCAATTTAATTTTGAATCCAAATTAAATCCTAAAAGTTTAACTGATTCAAATTTTACCTCTGTTTTAAGACTGATTGTTATATATTGTGATTTGTCAGAATTACAAGATAGTCTGTTTGCAGAAAACCAATCATATGCTCTATGTTCAGCCTCTTGACTAATTAAGCGCAGGGTTGTTAAATTAGAATGGTTAGCAAGAGTCAATTAGCAAGAGTCTACATTTAAAAGCATTGCGCTAGTTTGAAATAAAAACTCCTACAATTAATGTATTGGGACTGTGTTTTTTTCTGTAACCTTCTGTATGTAAATTGTGACTATAAATAAATGTTAATTTATAAGTCCAATTTGGAAATATGAACCAAAAGTGACATGTGGAGGGTTTATTGTCTTATAGCCTACTATAATATCATTCTAGCTGTCAAGATGTAATCGTATTAAGCCATTTAGAACCTTCTTAAGATGAGAGGTTAGGGAACTTGAACCACTTGAAAACATCTGAGTTGATTGATAAACAATACACAGCCAGTGTGGAGTATGTGAAGTACCGGTACTTTATTCTCATGTAGTTTATGTTAAACTGTGGTCAGCAGATTTATTTCCAATTTTTGTTGTCAGAGTTGCCAGACTGAGATAAGTATTTTATGAGGTCACAAAAGACTCTCTCTCCCCCCCCCCCCCACCCCACATCTGTAGTAAGCTGCAACGGAACTTAACATCTAGGCTACTGTAAAGTCTGTTGTCATTTTCTTCCGCTGCTTTAAACTCCTCTTTTGTCAGGTTATTTTAAATACATAGGCCTAAATGAAACGTTTGATAATTTCTGTTGAAGTGTAACTAAGGAGTTTACTATCTTTATTTATATTGTTAATTACATTGACATCATTGTTCTCAAAGAATACATAGGCCACAATAAAGGCCATTGTGATTGATGTAATTTTATTTACCGATTAATGTTTTTACATAGGTATATGAAATTTTTGGAGAAATATGGTTATTTTTCAGTAAACTACATTTTTTTAATATCAATAAAAACTTAAAAGTATTTTAGCCTCAATTTGTAAAGTAAAAAACTGAGAGTTCCAACTTTTTTTATTGTAAGAAATCTTTATTGTTCCTTTTTATACAATGTACAAACACAAAGATACAATACATACACGAAACAATAACCA